TTTATCAGCCTGTCGCTTGAAAGCATCGATAAAAAGGTCAAGGAAAAAAAATAACGAAAATAATGTTTACTTTGAGCGACGTTTGTTGAAACATCTCGTAGCGCGAAGAGTAAATACAGACGCGTTGAAGGATTCAATTCATTCGTTTCATCCGCTCTTGTCTCGTCGCTATAATAAAAATCCTTCTAAAATTGGGAATAATCCAAGCGACGCGCGCTCGTACATCGAATCCATCGGTGAGTTGCATTCGGCAGCCTCATATTTTTTTCCAGCTCTGACCCAAATAGGTCTATCGCGAATAGTCCCGGAGAATGCGCGACGATTCCGCTGCCAGTTTTTGTTTCCAATCTATCTATCTATCGATCGCTCGGATACAGTCTCGAGAGAAAGTACGCCAATCTTTGTTAAAAATTTTTCGAAAATAAATTCATAATTTCCATCATCGTGACATTTCTTTCATCGTTCGAGGCGAATTTTTCGGAAAAGTGATTTTTCGATAAAAGTTTACATAATTCACTTTATTTACAGGAGTTTTGATCGAAACAGAGTGATTGAGAGTAAAACCTCGTATAAATCTTGACTTACACATGTAATTACGTATACGAGATCTTTCTATTAAAAAAAAAAAAAAAAAAAAAACGAACTTTGAGATTCGCGCCGTGTTTTTCTTTTCAACGACGTCGCGTTTCAATTCCGAGAAGCGCGGGAAAAAAGCAATAATGGCTTATCAGCGCACACATCGCGTTCGCTTTTAGGTGGAAATCAGGCGAGTTCGATTGACAGTCGTATGACGTTTCGAAACATCGCGATACGTCTCGTGCACTCGGCGCCCGTTACTAAATAGGCCGAATAGGTGATGCCGATCAGGCGAGCACGTGTCAGCGATTGGTTTCCTAGCTTTCTGCCGACGTACCCATCCATCTCTCTCTCTCTCTCTCTCTCCCTCGCAATTGTCCCTTCGATTAATATCTCGCGACTGACGTTCGTCGCGGAAGTTGCGCTGTATACAAGCGCAAGGTCGATCGTCTGTCACTCGACAGGGTGAATTTCCGGACGCGGGGTACAGGTTGTCCCAAAAATCGCTGACTAGATTTTCCTGAACGTGTATAAACTTTTTGTCCTTTAATACAATTTTGCATATCTTCAAAATTTCCTTCGTTCTAAGTACATGTTCGCGATGACCCAGTTCTTGGCAGGACCGATACGGCGTAGATAGCGTCTTGCAAAAAGCGAGAGGAAACTTGTGCGCTACACGTTGTATTTAATTCCTTGTTTTTATCCGCTCGGTCGGGGAGCCGCTGATTATCACGAGCGTAATTATCGCCTGTCCGACTACGAGGTGGCTTTGAAAATTTGAGTAGCCACTTGTTGAGCCACGCGTCGCAAGATTTGCATGCTTTTCCCGCGATTTTTCCACCATTTCCATCTCGCGATCGGAAAATAGCTACCACTACCTACGGCATCGACCCTTTGCGTTATCGTTTGCAACCACTTGTTGAACGAATATTATTACGCGTCGTTATTGTTGCGAACGAGACCCGCAAACGCGACAAAAGGATAATTAGTTTCTTCTCGAGGCATGCGTAAATGTCATTAATCTACGCCGTGATTATCGAGGGTGAATTTTTCTCGCTGCAAAATTGGTGATCCCAAGTTTTTTGAAATTTAATGTTCTCTCGACGTCCAAACTGCAATAATAAATTCAAATATTTCACACATGGCAATCTTCCTTTTCCGCGTCGTGAGGAAATCGCGGCGCGAATTATTCGATTTCTACCTCCCGGCCTCGCGCTCTCGCTTTGAAACCCGGCGGCGTTTCGTTACGCAAAGCGTCGATTTTATAACGCGCGATTTTTTTTTCGCCAGATTCCTCTCTCCCAATCGTGCGCTCGGTTACGAAAGCATTCGGGAAGCATTCGCGTCACTTGCCGGGGGTATCATCCGAGCTCGAATGTACCTCGATATGTCGTATCCAGGTACCTAGGTACGTGAGTAAGATTGCTGAAGTAATCTATTAAAAGTCCACCCTGTTCCCGGCTTGTATAATCTCATAGAATTCCCCGTAGATTAAGCGTCCCGTTAACCTTTGAACGACGGTTAATCTCGATCTCGGGGCACGAGACCCTTTCCTCGGTTGCGCCGTAAATGGCCGCGCGGCTGCAAATTAACGCGGTTCGTGAGGACCTATCCCGTTTCTCAAATCACTACCTGCAACGAGGAAATTGCCGCATTGCTCGCGGTAGTCGACGTCCTGTCCGCTTTATAGCTACATTAGGCCCCGCCACTCGAGATAGAGTCGACGCGATCGTCGTCTCCCGGCCAGCGATAGCGTCGTGGGACGCTCGTTCCGCATTAGTACAAGCAAGCGGAAGGTGGAGGTGCATCCATCGTACGGAGGGTGTATCGTCGAGACCGTAAAGTGTGCGCGTGCACACTTTACACGGTACAGATATCATCCTTAACGGTGTATCGGGTAATGGGGAAAGGATAAACGCGCGCTTCCTCGAGAAACCTACGAGACGAGTTTGTCGTCGTTCCCCTTTTCTTCCTGTAAACGGCAAAAAGACGGCAAGAAGCTACAACCGTGGAAAAATGTCACGATGAATTTACACTTTAGATCCACGGAGACTGATGATCGCGACGTACACAAGTATTAGAGCGATTTTTTGCGAGTGAGTCGGACAACTTTTCCTCGTCCTGCCTCGCAAGAGTCAATATTATTGTTCAAACAGAAGAATACTTCTGCTTCCATTCCGCTTGGACTAATAGCAGCCTGCGATAGCGGTACCTTCGGCTTCTCGCGCATAAATATTCACGCCACGAAGGAAAGTTCCATAAACCACATCGGCGTTTCATCGATATGTAACCACAACGAGTAACTGGGAATTGCTTCCGCTTCAAGTTTCTTGTTGAAGGAAAGCAAAATGTTGTTTACATTTTAATAAATATACGTCTTTTCGTAAAACTTTAACTTGGAAGGTTACTCTTTCGATGAAACAAAAAAGGAAAATTAATAGACAATTGATGGAATATGTTACTTTTTGTCGCAGGATCTTCGCCCAGTCGTCTGGCAACCAACAGAACAACCGAAACCGCCGACGAGAGGATCGCCCCTGTTCCGGAATCTCCTAAACAAAAGGTACGCCATGATTATGATACGATCGGAGGCAGATACGCTTCTCGTAACTTTCTTTTGCCGGCTCCCTCTTCCCCCTTTTTTTTAGCATAAACGTCGTAAAATTCTGTACGTGGTAGTTTCGTTCGCGAGCTTGAAAAGTCCCTCAAGCTTTTCCAGAACCATCATCTTGTAACACATCGAATCACGCTCTAAAATTCATTTATTCATCTTTACAAAATACGAGAGATATTCGTGCAAATCGCTTTATCTCGTTGTACCTTTCATTTCTTATAAAAATCATGTTTTCGACATTGAACGGGTTAATCGAGCATTTTCCTTTTTCTCTCTTTCTCTTTCTTTTTTTTCATTTTTATCCAATCACTTTGTCGTTCATTCTTAGACTCGTGTTCGCAAAAAAAATGACAAAATTTAAGTGGAAAGGTCTAAAGGATTATTTGAATCTTCGTATCGCGCTGAATTGCAATCAAGAAAATCATCTCGAAGAGAGTCGCTTGTGGTACATCGCGGTTTACCTTGACACCAGTGTTATCCCGTTGCAACAACAAATGCCGTCATTGCGTTTGCGTAATCACGCAAACGCGCATTATCGACACACAGGCGCCGTCCCCCTTTTCTCATCCTTTATTTTTATTTTTTTTTTATATTCGCCCTTTTCCCATTATCTCTCGCTTGGCGACCGATCGAAGATGAGTGCGTAGGCGAGACGAGATAGACCTGACGTTCATACGCACGTTAATCACTCACACATACACAAGGATCGATTATTTTTGTGTCATCTCTGCACATCTGTATTTACATAAAATCCATCAATTTTATGTGCGTTCGATAAAATTAATAATGATAAATGGATAACGATGATGTTACGCAATGTGAGATCAAATGTGACGTTTGCCTTAAATGAACATACATACGTTGTACTTTCAGTAGCTTGTGTGTGCTTTCTGCGAATGATTAATTGTGCTCTCATCTCGATGTTTGAAGATGTGTCGTAACACGTGAGGTCTGTCCTCGTGCAACGTGGAGGTTTGTCACGTTCATTTCGTTCTCGTCACGAGGTTAGCTGTAGGGAAGCAAACTTTTACGCGTTCAATAAAATTTGCATCGCTGATCGTTACGGTCTCGCAAACTCTTCCGCGTCGTAGAAAACGACTTGGAGAAGGAGCACTACCGCAAAGATCACGAAGAAGCGAACCCCCGACGCGAGGAAACGCGCGGTTGGCGTGCACGCGATCATCTGTTCCGAAGATCCATTTAGTCGGCGATCTTGTGGCCGACAATGACCGCTTCTGTCAATCACCACGTGTCGTCTTCGTGATCTCGATTCCCGGATGCTATTCTCGTCCGCTATTGCTATCTAGGTCCTTAATCAAGGTGTCTACTTCTTGGAGAAACGTCAGGGAATTCTTCTCGAATTTTATTGGGATTTTTTAATTTCTCCCTTGATAATTTTGCCCTTATATTAAAGTAAACAGTTGATAATCCGTCAAGTAAAGTTTGAATTGTGTTTAAAATGTATTTATATATATTTAATATTTTAACAAGATACTGAATATGTGGTACACTTTCTTTACTATAATTTTTCGTGATAAAATAAAAATGTTTTGCGAGTGAGAGAGAAAAATGTGTTTATCTTGTAAACTATTCAATTTTTTTCAATACATTTGCAAATCTAACACTTGAAATTTAAATGGCTCCGTGTTTTCCCTTCAAAAGTTCACCGAGTGAAAAGCATTAAAAAATACGTATTATAGAAAAGTTTATTTTAGGAAATTGCACCAAAAAAATCATTTTAAAACAATTGCTTTATCTAAAATTTTGAACATGTTGAAAATATCTGAAAAATGAAGAAATTTTCAATATTTTTACAAGATTTCAGTAGACATCCTGTTAACAAGCGACCGGGAGAACATTTGTATTCACAGGTGAGAGAGAAAGAGAGAGAGAGAGAGAAGCGATATACGCGTCAAAAAATTCAGGCCGAGCGAGTTACGGTAAAAAGGGGACTATAAAAAAAAACGCTCGACCAATTTTCTTTACGATGTCAAAGTTTCCACAACATATTTATCCATTCGCTCCCGTAACTTGTATACCTTCAATACTCGCCAACGTCTGCCTAGGTAGTCGTGAACACGAAAGTTAACGCGTTGCTCCGAAACTAGTTTCCTCGGGAATTTCTTCAAGATCCCGTAGATAGCTCGTTCGTCTTCTCCAGCCACATTATTTTCAAGCGACTCGCTAAAACAATCGTCCCTCTGTCTCGACATCTACCGAAGGAACCTCTGAAAGTGTATTGCTATTCGAAGCAGAAATCACGCACCAACTTAGATTAGATTGCGTTACAAACTTGTGATAATCCCGCGATGGATAAGACTAGCAAAGTTGTTTTCCACGGGTATTGTTTCGAATAGCTAATAGCTGGAGATATCGCTATGGCATTAATTACTTTTATCGCGGGCTCGACTCGTTATCGAAGCTCGAGCGACGCACGCGTCGTAGTTTGTTCGCCTCGAGAACTCGCTGTCGGTCTTCGTATTCCTGGTCACCAGCTGATTCGCGAGATTGACGAAAGGTCAAAATGAGAGACGTCGTTCACTAATGTCGGTAGTAACTCGTTTTACGAGCCGAAGAGGAACGAGAACGGATACACGATGGACGCTCGTGCGTGGGTCGAGTTTTGTTCATTATGGTTGGCATAATCGTAGTTAAAGCCGCCACGCATGAGTCACGCGACGAAACCCACACACTTGTAGGACTTTATTCAACGGCGGACGTCCATTTTGGTTGAAACGATAGAGTTCCCTGGAAAAAGCTGATGGATTATCTAAAGTCAGGGTAGGTAAAAAAAAAAAGGGAAAAAAGAAAGAGAAGGAATGAAAGCGAATGCACGCCTCGCAAGTATAATCCGTGGACAATTCGCACGTCAAGTCGAATCCCGGAAATCGTCGGAAATCCTCGCGCTGAAACGTGTATTGTTCAATCTCTCCCCCTTCCCCTCTCATCGTATCTTTTTGTTCTCCAGGAGGAAAGCTTGGACTTAATGGGGCAATATAAACCTGAAATATTCTGCTAGAAGGTAATTTCGCTTTGTCGTTATTGTTTTGCTTGCTTATGGTTGTTGGGTAAGCTGCATGCTCGCATGTTTCGAACACTCGGTCCGGTGTACGCCTAACTTTTCGATAGCACGACGCGTGTGTGTGATTTTGAAGCAAATTATCTAACGTTTTCCCGTTAAACGACAACGCGAAGGTAGAACTGGCTGCGCTCTGCGGTCGATTTTCGCAAGAAGAGAAAGAAGAAGAAGTAAATTTGCGACGCTAACCCAGGCATCGAGGCTCGTTTCTTGCACGTGACGGCCGTGGAATATCTCTTGTTACTCTTAGAAATTGTTACATTTCCTCCTGTCATGCTGGCTAACGACACCGACGAATCGTTCTATTCATCCTTCACTTTACGTTTTTCTTTATCTTTTACGATAATGGGGAACGAGCCTTTGTCGCGTCCACTTATCGGATGCGCTCGCGACGAAGGAATGATTTTACGTCGCGACATATTTTCATCGGGCAGATGGAAAGCGTTACGAATTTATGACGAGCTGCGACGCGAAAATCCCGTCGCGACTGAGGACTATCAAAATAGACGACTCGCCTCTCGATTGTGTCCCAGCGTGAAATACGCTCTCGCACGTCGGTATCGCTATACCCGGCTGAAAGAATCGACCCGAGACACGATCGATCAATCCTCCTGTCTCGCACTCTTCCAGACGACACGTCGCCCGTCGGTCTCGCCTCGCTTCACGCTCGTACCTTCGATAGAGGTAGCTGGTCGAGCTTGACCAATAAAGCCCGTCACCCGGAAGTAGCTGTCCGGGAACGTCCGTCACTTCTGTGGCATTTTTCGGAACCGAGAAGAGAAGGAAAGAGAGAGAGAGAGAAATAAATGCATCTCTCGTAACTTTCGTTCGCGTTTAAAACGAGAGCCGGACACTCGAATGATTACGTTCGCCTTATTTAGTTTACATTCAAGCTTATATCGTATTTACATTACAAAGCCCGGTAAACGCCGAGGAAAGTAATAATTAATCATGTGCGGAGAGACTCGGTGGAGCGCGACGTTCTATTTATATGTCATTGCCACTCGTTGCGTGTACTCGACGTATATGCATGCATACGTCGCACGCACGCACGCACGCACGCACGCACGCACGCACGCACTCGCTCGTTCGCTCACGCAATAGAAATCGGACGCGCGGTCAGCAGCCTCTCTACAGTTCCACGGAGTCGAATCGTGACTGTAATTCTGTTTCCCCGGGCAAGTGACTACAAGGGACGGTAAGAGAAAATGTTTGGCGATAATTCGCGCAGCCTTTAATCGTTCTCTCTTTTTCAATCTCGGAGATTCGATAGTCGTGCGACGTTTGGGAAAATTTTAGTGCGACGAGCATGGGTGGAAGGCATCCAGATTATTTTTACACGACGCGTAAGCGACGTCGCTTACGCGTAATAACATTTCGCGTTTATCGCCCGATCGGATTAATTAATCGCGCGCTTAATGTTCCTCGAGAAAATCGATATCGTCGGCGATGTTTGTGCCGTCGCGTATAATATCGCTGCGATGTGAAACACCGACTCGATAGACGTGCATTTTCGTATGTTTTAATTAAATTAAATCGCGATTAATCAAGCTAGGCAGCGATGATGGCACTGTAACCCGCGTTCATTAATACGCGTTACACTTGCGATAAACGCGATATAATAATTTCGATACACGAAGAGAGAGTTTGCTCTGGAGATCTCTCGCGACAGAGAGCAAATTCTTTTTTTTTTTTTTTTTTTTTGTTGTACCACCCGATCGATCGCCGCTTTATTTAACCGACTATGTAAAACCCATGCACGTGGCATTCGATGAAAGTTTAATAGAAATCGATTTTGCGGTTAGCAACCTATCATCCATGCCATTTTTCAGCGAGGAGGATTAATATACACACGGTCTCTCTTACGAACGAGCGACGAAAGAAACTCGGAGATAGCTTGATTACATGAGTCATCGGCTTTTAATCAAATCAGTTTTCCGTCACGCAACACGCCATCTCATTTACACATATACGATAAAAATAATTGGCGATGAATCTTCGAGACGACGTCTGTAAAAATGTCCTCGATTCCTCGGCTCGATCTTCTTTTTATCGAATTTTAACTTTGCAGGAAATAACGCTCGCTTGAACGTTCTTAATACCGGAAAATCAGACTTCTCCCGAATGCTAGTTGTAGATGGCGAGGAGAAAAAATTCTTCCGTTACGATATGTCGAGAAAAATCGGGGAAGGGATATTCGAGAAGGGAATAAATGTTCGCGATGCTCTCAGAGTCGCCCAGCCTCTGCGAGCTCGTCTCATTTTCTCATAACGAAGATTTAACGCGATGCCAACCCCGCTTTCTTATCCCGTTTGCAAAGCAACGTCCTCGTGGCATTACAGTCGTATGATATACACGCTCGACGTATAGGAGCCGCAGCGATTCGATGCATTATTGGATTCACCGGACCTTAAATGCATACCGCGATAATACCTCGGAGATGTATAGCCGACCGGTATTGTGGAAATTCGTTGGACGTGGATAAAAGCTAGAGCGGCAAAAGGCCGACGCCGAGGTGCTCGTCGATATCCAACGGCTCGTTGCAAATGCGACCTACAATTTGTCAATATTTATCTTGGGCTATACGTGCGCTCTTTCAGCCGGGAGCAAATCATCTCCGACGTGTGTGATAATCGCTGAGATTTGGCGTTTAACCCTTTGAGGATGGCTATTTTTCTAATCAAACTTACAAAGTTCATCGAAAGTATTTATTTAATGGAAACACACGTTAAAATGGAGTTGAAGATGATATTTCTTAAAGTCGGATCAGTTGCACAGAGATCAATATCATATTTATATATCTTGACTTTGATTTCTTCTTTTTTCTCATTGACTGCTTATCTTTTACCAGATTAAATAAGAGAAGAGAAATGTATCTATTAAATCTCTCTGGATGATCTCCTGCACTTGTGTTTCTTCAGGTTCTAATTGATTTCGTGGATTGATAATTTCTCTGATCAGTCATTGAACTTTAAAGAGCCACCAAATTGATTCCATTCTTCAGAAAATTTCTAATTTTAGAAGGGAAATGAAAAGCATGAAAAAAATGCGACATTTATCGGTTAAAATTCAAAACATACATCTTTAAAAAAAAACATTAAAATTGTACGTACATGTCATTCTCAGAGGATTAAACGTTCAACTCTCATGAATTTTTCGCGAGGATTGTTTCGCTAACGTAGATACACATTCAGACTAATGTGGAGCAATTATCTCTGGTGAAAAAAAAAAATGGTGACGGTGAGTGATAGCTGCCTGCATAAAATTGCATGCCGCATTTTACTTGTTCGCTGCTACGCTCGCTGAAGAATGAAATGCGGGAAATAATGGCGACATATGTGTCTCGATGTCTGTCCAACCTGATAACGCAGGTGGGGTCGCGTCTGGGGATGCGGAGGGATCCGTGCGCCGCGTGCGGGCTGCCGGTCTTCCTGGCGGAGAAGCTGCTGATAGCGCGCGCTCCTTATCACCGTACCTGCTTCCGGTGCGCACGCTGCGGCAACCAGCTGACGCCGGGCAATTATTACGAGACCGAGGAAGGCCAGTACTGCTGCGAGACGTGTCCGGACGAAGAGGTGCCAGCCAGCGTGCGTTGCAAGTACGCTGAATCGACGATGATGTCGGGCGTGGAACAGGAGAGGAGCGAACCGTCGAGGCCGCTTAGCGACGAGGAGAAAACGGAGAGAAAGGTCAGTTTTTCCCTTTGACAAATTTTTAACGTTTGGAATAAATATATATAAGCAATCTTGTTGCGTGCAGGATGTACAGAATCTGCTGGTAAAGGCTATAGTGCCCGATCTGATCTCCCATACCTCGCAGATGCGCAAGAGTTTCATGGCCAGCCACCTTCTCTCCGAGAAGATCAACGAATCCACCGCGAGAGATGCGAATACAAAGGATGTCGAGGTCAATTCTGATTATCGCGAGGAGGAGAAGAGCAGGATCGACTCGGCATTCCCAGACGACGACGAGAATGAGGAGGAAGAGGAAGAGGAGGGAAAATCTCGTAGCTCTGCGACGGATTCCCCAGACACGGAGGAGTCCGGCGTCGAGCCATACAATGTACATAGCGCGTTAAATAGCTTAGATATTAGATGCGACGAGGATCAGCGATCGACTGCCATTTCATTCCATGACGTAGATAAGGAGAGAAGAGATAAAGATACCAAAGAGTCGCCAGATCGTGCCAATAAACGAGCCAATCCCGAAGCGAGATTGTCCTTAGTACAGAAGAGACTCCAAATGTTTGAGGCTCGGGACAAAGTAGATCATGCCGAGAGAATGATGAATCTAGGCAAAACGAAAAGTCCGGTGACTCAGAGGAACCTGGAACCGGACATTCTTCGAGTGAATCAGGAGGAACGTTTGGAAAAGATGCTCGAGGAAGACTCGAAGATTAAAAGTACCGATAAACGTAAAGACAGTTTTGAGAACATCAGCAAACAACGAAAGGAAGAAGATTCGACGATTACAAACATAGAGAAATGCAAGGATACTTTTTCGAAAGACGTTGCGCGAGCGAATAGCGAAGAACAACGTATTACCGATAATACGCAGCTCGAAGAAAACTCGAAAGTTGAAGGTATCGAGAGAGAAAAGGAGAACCTCACAGAAGTCGAACAAAGAGAGGATAATGAAATAGAAAAATCTTATGAAAACGAAAGCAACATACTAACCGCGAGAGATATGGATTTAAGCATCCATAAGGATTACCCAGAAGACCTGAATCCTTTCAAGAGCGATGAAGAGGATAGCATTACGGAAAGCAAAGCGTGGACCGCGATAGATAGCTCTAGAAACAGCAAAGTGTCAACCAATCCGTTTGATAGCGAAGACGAGGACGTCGAGGAACTTGAACCACCGAAACCAGCGGCTAGGAGTAAACTGGAAAATCGGGGAATCGTAACGGAAACGTCTGTGACCAAGCGGATTCTGGCTGCGCCGCAAATTAATCTCAATCCATTCTGGAGCGATGAAGAAGAGGAGCATGATAGCGATGAGAAGCAAAGCATCAAGCCGCAAGGAAACGTCCCTGTACCGAAACCGCGTACTATCAAGTATGTGTATCTTATATTTTTAGCGAATATTACTGGTAGCTTATTCCGGCGTATCACAGCATAATGGATAATTTTTCCATTAAACAGGACCATTTCCGAGGTAAACATCGCACCACGAAGAACTACTGATTTGAATCGTGGAGGCATGTACGCGTCCAATAGTTCTTTGACCAGCTCCGAGTCGACTACAACTCCCAGCGGAACGTATAGAAAGAAGAAGCCCGCTCCGCAACCACCGGCCGCGAAGGAACTATTTCCGTCTGATCAGCGCGAATCGCCCGTGCTCAAGTGTAATAATACATCACCCTCGTATCATGTACGTTTTAAGATATCTTACTTTTTAACTCGATTTATGTATTCCTTTATTTCCAATCTGTATTTTAACCGGAAAAAAGTTTCTAAATATTTTTTTATTCTCTCGCAATATAGAATTCCTCATCACCTCGCACGATGCCGCGAGCTCGGAAAACCAAGCCGGCACCTCCGCCGCCAATGCCGACCAGTACACCCCGTAACATATCGATCGATAACACGCCAAGTTTCGACGAATCTCCCATAATCAAGCTTCGCGATTACGATCACAGCCTAAACATGTGGGAAGATCAGAAAACAAACAAAGACGAGGCGAATCGAAATAGACAGAGCTTGAGTAGCATTACGTGTATTGACAGTTCCTCCTACACATCTTATAGTGACAAAAGCATTCAAGGAAAATGGAAGAGGAAAAAGGGTCCCGCCCCACCGCGACCAATTCCGCACAGGAGAAAGGTAAATTCTATTTTTCTTTTTGCTTACAATATATTTGTTATATCAGTGCAATTTCCGAAGAATCAAGTTTCGAGCGTGTAAGTAGATGAGATTCGAAATTTACTTTAATGTGGTTTTATTTGCAGATTAAAGTGATATCTATGAAAGACGTGAAATTAGAATTAGATGAAATAGAATTGCAACAGCAAGGTTTAGAGAAACAAGGCGTACGATTAGAACAATTGATACGAGATAAATGCGAATCTGGACCTAGAACGGAAGGTAGAAAAAAATAATTATAATTATATAAGATAATAGAATAAAATAATATAGAGATGTAATTGATGATTAATTCATTTACTATTAAATTCATTCATTCATTGACAGATTCATCATCGCTCGGCGCGGATGTGGAGGAATTGGTTTTGGAATTGTTTGCATTAGTGAATGAGAAGAACGAATTGTTTAGGAGACAGGCCGAATTGATGTTATTGAGGAGACAGCAAAGATTGGAGGAGGAACATGCTGAAGTGGAATATCAAATACGATGTCTCATGTGCCAACCAGAAGCTACTAAAACGGACTTTGATAAACAGAGAGAAGAAGCATTGATACAAAGGTATTATTCTAGAAATATTTATCAAATAACAATATGAACACAGGCTTATTTTAAGGACCAACCAAATAAAAAAACAATTATAGGCAAGAAAAAATTGTATATAACATTAAGCAAATTTTTTTATTTGGTTGGTCCTTAAAATAAGCCTGTGTTTATATTGTTATTTGATTATTATCTTTCGACCACCTCTACTTGTTAGTCTTTTTTATATTTTAGAAATATTTATGTAAAATATTTAAAAGTTAATAGCGCATATAAACGCTTTTCTTTGTATTATAGATTAGTAGAAATTGTAGAGAGACGGAACGAAATTGTTGAATGCTTGGAGATGGATCGTCGAAGAGAGGTAGAGGAAGATAAAAGCATAAATAAACATATGGGTTTATTTGCTGGTAAGTAACAAAATACTAGATTTATTAATGTAAAATGTAATTTTTTTTGTAAGTTATTAATTAATTTTTGTAAGTTATTATTATTTGTATTTTAGCGAGAAACAAGAACGAGCTATTGGACAGAAATAATGATTCTTCCAGTGTGGAAAAACCAAAAAAGGGAAAAGCAAAGGAAAAATTAAGAAAATTGAAAAAGGTCGTGAAAAAGGATGCCGATAAAGATGTGGATGAGACTGAGGTAAAACTCAAACATCATAATAAGCGAAAATGGTTTTGAATCGTATGACGGTGTTAACAGTTAACAGTTATAATATATATACAAAATATATTTCATATTTAATACTTTTATACATATTTTTAACACTTTGTTATTTATGTATGTAGGGATTTACGCTAAGATTATTAATAAATTCGCCTCGTTTAATTGCCCTCCTAGTCTGATTATCTTCTAATTGTAAATAAATCGATAATCAATTATTCCGAATAAAATTGTCAAATCTTTCGAAAAATTTTCAATATTCGAACAGGCGAATTAATTGATTGTATCAACACAGTCCATTTCGGTGAGATACACTCTTCAAAAGCAAGATTGTGATTTCCTAAAATGGAAAATATTTTGATATTTTTTGATATTTAGATTCAAGCTAATTTTTAGCATAAAAAAATACCCAAGTGCTCCAAAAACTGCGAGATAGTATCCTCATTGCGAATTGTGGCAGCAAATACAGCATAATTACTTGATGTTAACAGATGCTTTAATCCTAATGTCAATGAATCAAATGAATCACTTTCATAGAGAATATCAGCAGCAATAATTATATCAGGCTGCGAGAAATTCTCTGTTACATATTTATCAATATCTTGCCAATTCAAATCTATTATTTGAATGTCAGTTTGTTTATATTTTAATTGTAATTTTAGCCTTAATGATGTATCGTGCATATTTGATAGTTTATGTTGCTTATTCAGCAAGAAATTAAGTTTTACGTTTTCACAAAGCATATCTAGTACTGTTGGATGACAATCGGAGAAAATATATTGTTTTGGAGAGCATATGCTAGTAACGCTCATACCCGTCAATCCAACTCCACATCCAAGTTCTAGTATATTTTTTCCTTGAAACTGTTTTATATTTTCTGCACACCAATCACTTAATACTACAGCACCCTGTTGATTATATCATAGTATATATTTTGCTTCAATAATTTTTAAATATTCGTAACGTAATTTATATAAATGTTATTTGAAAATTTCTGTCATACAAGAAAATAAGTACCTGCCAGCTACATAAACCTGTAGTTCCTTTAGAAATCAGATTTGTACTCTCTTTCAATGTGATGCAACTTAATGTTCCATTTTCTATTAAAAAATGACGGTAATGTACAGACTCTTCATCTTGCAATGATATTAATCTACAGTATGCTGTGTATAAGTCATCATGAATTTCAGTACCGCTTTCTTCTATCTAAATCGTGTATATAATGATGGAAGAAAATTTTAGACCTTTTTAATTTATGAAATACTAGTTCCATATGAGATTTAAAAAAAAAAGTACCTTTGCCATAAACAATTTTAAGAATGCTTTCTGATATGACGTTTTTATCGGATATTGCTTAATCAAATCACTATTTATCGTACTATCTAAGACTTGCTTCTGGATATCTAAATCGAAAGGATAATCTCCATTTTCATCTAAAAGCTGTAAAATATTTTCTTAATTGTCAAATTATCGTGGCATAAAATCATGTCTATTTACGTACCATAAAGTTAATTTTAGTTATCGCGGTACAGCAAAGAAACTGTTTCGTTAAATGTTTCACGATAGAAACATCGCGTCGCGTGTCACTATCCATCGGATTAACTTAAAATCAAAACAAAACTCTGAAAGAGCAACAGAAAGCTGTCATCAGCTGTCACACATTACATCGCGTCCGGTCAGTTGTTTGGAGGCGTTGCCATTTTTCTCCAAATGTCAACACTCATGACTCCTGAATATCTAGATGCGAAACACGTGCTCAAAATTGGCGCACCTCTTCACGTTTGTAGAACATGGCGACGCCCGCATCAAATGTGATCAATGGCGTTCAGCAGGAAAAGCTGCTTCGCAACTGTTGTAAAATTCGTGAATCTGATTGGTGTATGCTCTTAGATTCAATTAAAATTAAGAGCATGCACCAATCAGGCTCACGAATTTTACACAGTTGCAAAGGAGCTTTTTTTGCTGAACGCAGCCAATTATCGTCTACTGAGTGTTCATTATGCCCGGAGAAGCGCAATCGATTAATCATGCACATGGGATATGAAATATATAAATCACTGAGCTCTATAATATATTGGAACGAGCTTTCAAGGAATGACTCAAAAATTGTAGAAAAGGATAATGGATGCTGGATGGATCGCTATCTTGTCAGAACTTTGCTTATTGGTTCATATTATAGTATTATGGTCAAAAATATTGACTATATATACTTTAATAACTAAAATTGGAAATTTAAATATGTTCTGAAAGGTCCTGCTGTATCGCTAAATATCTGATGAGAAATGTTTTTAATTGAAATAATATAGCGTAAAAAGAGACAGAGATCCTCTCAAGAATACACATGTCTCTTTTTAATTCCAGTCCCGATTTTCTATAGAATAATGGGCCTGTTCTTTTTAGCTACATTGCTGCACTAGTGCAATTAGTTAGAGTGAAAAAAGTACGTTTGTCTCTTTCTAACTTATTGCACTTTCTGACTTAGCGCAGCGGTGCAGCTAAAAAGAACAGACCCCATACGTTAGGCTCGCCCAATATACTATAGAGCCCAACCCTCCAATCCGAAGCGGAGTCGTACACTAGCAACCGTAACCTGAAACTGCAGTCGATCAACTCTTCAATTCGTTTGATTCAGTTGTGTGTATTCGCGTAATCGAATTTTTACGGTATGGCTGATATGGGCCTAAGTTTAGATGACATTATTAAAAAGTCGAAATCATCAGGGATGAGAGGCAGAGGAGGGTGAGACAAATTCATCTAACTGTTCAACGGAATCCTCTTTAGCTCCACTTTTCCCCGCTATAGATTTATAACCTTCACAATCGCGCCCGAAAGAGATTGTCACTTTGTAACTCGAAATCTCGACTCTCTCGGTATCTTTTTTCCGTTTCAATTCATTTATTCAATATCTTTATCGGCCTGAATAAATTAACGTGTATGTAGTGTTATAATATAATACGTGACTTACGTTGTAAGTAGTTCAAAAGCAAAATCTGTTTGCTAATCGAACGCCCTTAATGATAGTATAATGTTTATGTACTTTGTACTTTGTACAATGACATGATGAAAATATATATATATATACAAATGATTTTAAAATTTTGAGTAAAATTCAAGTTTATTGATTGCATTTTGTAATTGATTTTAATACTGGTATTTTATTATTTAATACTGGTATTTTAATACTGATAAAAAGTGAAAGGAGAAAAAAATCGACTTTATATTTTTTATTTTATTGCACAGAATTCGCAGAGGACTCAACAGAGGCTCACGTGCAAATGGTTCTGTGAGAGGACGTGGCTCGCACGTAATTACAGATGCACGGTTTAAAATAATACAGAAGAATCGTGAAAAACTGACTGACGCCAGAGACAAGCTTGCGGAAATAGCAAAGCAGAGCGATGCTAGACTCAAATTAGACAAGATTCGAGCATCCCAGTATAAAAAGATGGATGTGCAGCTTTCTGGAATCTCGCGAAAGACCGGCCGAAATGGCAGGCTTTCGTTATCGACGAACAAGGTGCCGCCTTTGATGCCGCACGTATTGCCACCAAATATACCGGCTCCTACGAGAGTGGTAGGCTACAGACCACCCTCTCTCCCCGAACCACATTATTTAGGAGAAATGAGTATGGATTATAATGATGGTATGTGAATCATATCAACAGTATGTGAATATTCTAATAATGTATTCATATGTACACATATTTTGATGTATTTTAGAAACATTCTATGAAAAACATTAAAACAGCATCTTATTTTTCCAGACTATTTAATGGATTCGTCATTGAGAAGAACTGTGAGTAACGAGTACGCACCAACACCACCACCTCCACCCCCTGTATTTAATATTCCGACTTCTCCCTATTCTTGGGTGAAGCCTACAAGCACTAATGTGACTAGGATTCCAACGCGAAAATCTGATATAGAGAGGGAACGAGAAAGACAGAGAGATTATAAACTTGTTCCACGCTCTTCAATGGTAAGCAATTTTGTGGTCAAAATCGTTTACATAAGATTTTTACAATTTATGGTTAATTTAATTTTTATAATTTTGTATCTCTATAGACCAAGACTGCTTCGCCTCCTTACAAGGAAGACTGGAGTTTTGGGACAAAATCAAGGTAGATTTCCAAGTCACACAATTTCTAAAAATGATTATAAACATTTTTGTATACCACAAATCCCTTAAGTATCAATGGATTATAAACAGATGTATTCATATGCTTTTTATGATTCTGATTATAGAACAATTTTGGCAGAAGAAACTGCAGATTCCAAGTATTATGATTCCAGAAGTCTTCGAGATGTAGGAGTTAAATCGCGTCTTGATTCATCTGTGAATAAATCAAGAATAATGGGCGCTTTATCGCGACCGAAAGCAAGTTCATCTAGTTCATCAACGCAATCAACGGGTTATCGAATTGTAGTATCTAATTTGCAAGCAAACGTCACACAAGAGGATATCAAGGTGCAGTATAATTTATTTTTGAAATTGCTCGCGCTTGTATTATTAAAAAATATCAATAAAAATTGCATTTTATAGGAATTATTTGAAGACGTAGGTGAATTGTTGGTATCGAGATTAGTTCGTCCAGGCACGGCGGAAGTAATTTATAAGACATTGAAGGATGCGACTAAAGCAGTCGAAACTTACCATAATCGACAATTGGATGGCCATCCGATGAAATGCCTTCTTGTTAATCCACGACCAAAAAACAATCCAACTGGACCAGCCGTGCGATCTCTTACAGAGTGAGTTGCAATTTTTATATATATATATTAAAAAATGCACAGTTTATACTGTGCTCTATTTTAACATCTTGTTGAATTGATTTGACACTCTAAATCCAAACGCAATACAAACTTATTTATTTCGGTGTTAAATAATTTAACTTAATTATTTCCATCTAATGTCATAAAATTTATTGTAGCTGCAGCAAATAGTTCAAAGTTTGAAACATATAGAAAATAATCCTAAAATAATTAATCTTGAAAGGAGGACAAGTTCCTTTTTTCTTCACAACAATTTCTTTCCTACAGATCGAGACGCAGTGTCAGCTCGAGTTATGTACAACCGAGTTTAGGAGCGGTGCATCGCGCATTATTTGATGATTCTTAATCGAATATATTATCGTATTAATGAATATATATGAATGCTTTTGATATAAGAAATATTAAAAAGGGAAATGTCACATGTATATTTAAGACATCATCAACGCAAAATAATCTTAGGGAAAGGGAATAGAGAAGAGACGGTATGCAAATCACACCTGCGCGTGGAAAATTTGCGCGCATATACGTGCGCGAATCCGATTCCCATCTGCAATTGTATCAATGAAATAAACTTGTACCACTCATTATCTTCAATCTGTATGCGATCTTTATGATACTAGAATGTCCGCGGATTTATCCTCGTCATTTTTATATGAGAAAACGTTTCTTCTTTTACATTATATGTGGCACTTTTTATTTATAGCTTTGTCATTTAACAATGTATCACTTATAAAAAATTATATTAGGCGATTAAAATATTACAGAGATTTTGATAGCATCGTTCAATTGAGAATATCATCTAATCGTTGAAAATAATTAAAAAAGTTAAGTCCTATTTATTATGGAAGCAAACGCAAAGAAATAAATTTTTATTTCCCAATTCAATAATGGTTGGTTTTATAGGAATCCTATGGAATCATTCGGAAGGAAGAACGCGACTTGTGATACGATAAAGAATTTATTTATATACGTACAACATCATCATCACAATATATCCATACCTACAAAATACAAAAGCTAACACCGCGCGCATGCTGCTGCTGCCGACATGCACTAAGGGTCACCTCTCCTCCGAGGGAAGAGGGGAGAAAGTATAGACATACGTTATCGCGAAGAGTGGTGCGAGCAGTTTTGGAATTGGAAGTCGGATTTTGACACGGGGAGTAAATGGCACATATAAATAGGTTTCTTCTCTTCTCCGTAAACATGCACGGCACCGTAACAGCGCTCAATAATCACCATCTCGCCATATGGAAGGAAGGGGAGGAGATATACGAAATGTCGAAACTTAAAACTAACGTCGACGCGATTAATTAGTGCCTAAAAAAGTCATCGCTACGCTACACGTCCGCGTCGTCGAATATTTACAAGTACAAAACAATACTGAATCTTCATCTTGGAATGAATAATGTGGACCAAACGCGCGGAGCTCTATCTTATCCGAGAGAGAGAAAAACAGAGATATAATTGAAATTCAAATATAAAACTCTACATCTTGCTTTCCTTCGCTTCGATCCATCGTCCTGTTTAACTCCTACGATGATGATGATGATGATTGTTAGTTCGAGACTTGCTGTTTGGCGTCCGGAGGACCTCCGCGTAAGACATCTCCAGTCGCTTCAATCGTGCCACCTCTTCGGACGCCGTGCTAGGTTTGAAGTCCCTGTACTCGTAATTGTTGTGCTGCTGCTGTTCGCTCGAGCCACGCGCACACGTATGCTGTTGCCTTCTGTTGTCCCTCGGTCGTGTTGTCGCCGAATATACGTGGTTGTTCCACGTACTCGTGTGCTCGTGCTCGGCCGGATTGAACGGCTTGAATCTCCTTCGGCCACCACCGTTGGGCTTGGGAGGCACGAATTTCGGATTCGTCGTGGGGATGACGTCTGGCGTAGTTGATCGATCGTTGTAATGCGCTCTCTTGGCGGAGTTCTTTTTCGCCGAAGACTTCTTACGCATACGCAAGTTAACGGACACGTAGTCCATCCTGCAGCCTGAATCTTTGCCATCGGGCTGTTGTTTTGCACCGACACCGGACTTGTTGTTATCGGTCTGTTGATCGTTCTTGATACTGGGTGGGCTGCAAGCGGATTGCACTCGGCTGAAGACCGGTTCCGAAACCACCGATGACACCATGGAGGACATGACGCTTTGAGTGTCGTCTGTCGCCTCGCTCTCCTCTTGAAACGATGTCTCGTACGTAGTCTGAGACGTGGTGGAATCGTCCAACAATGGCAACTTTTCACCCTCGTCCTTTGCCTCGGCCGCTCGCTTCAAGACGCTAAAGATCTCGCTGAACAATTGCCGATACTCGGGCGTTTTGCGGAATCTGCTCTCGAACGGGCTGTTGTCGTCGTAGATGCTAAACTTGCAGTCCTCGCCATCGGCGATGGAGCACAGGAACGAGCCCGGCCTGCCGTCCGTCTGCGTCGCCTTGTTACTCGTCTCGTCTGAGAAGCCTGAGGACGACGTCTCGGCCTCGGAGAAATCTGTCGGGGTGGCTGAGAAGGGTTTCTTGCCGGAATTGTCGGGCACTTTGGCTCGTGAAGCGGCAATCTTGTTCGATTCCGGACCGGCAACGGCGCTCTCGGTGGAATAGAAATTGTTGAACTCTCCAGACATCTCCAGCTCCTCCTGCAACGACATGCACGCGGGATTGGGCGCATCCTTTCGACGGGGCTGACAGTGTCTCTGCACTTCCAACAAGGCCTGATACTTCTCCACCAGAACTCGATAGGGGTTCGCGCTATCCAGCTCATCCGTACACTCGTTCTTGCTGCCTGTATCCTGCATGCAAGGTAAATAACATATGTGCAGTTGGAATTATGCGAAGGATATAATTTTACGAATTATCGGAATTTAATTAAAAATGTTATTCAAAGTGGAGCTTTTTCTCAAGGAAAAAAAAGCGATCAGATTATACCATCTAAAATCTATTATAAATATTATTTTTTATGCTAATATGAAAGGTCAATATTTTTTCTTACTTATTTTTCCATCGAGAGATTACTGCAATTTACTACATAGTAAGAAACGTGAGATATTGTGCACAGAAATAGAGAATGACTGAAAGGGGAATATACACACACATACACATACATGCCAGATTTATAGGATATTAAAAATTACAACAAAGTTCCATGAGAAAAAGTACTTTTATTTAATATCTTATAAATCTGGCACTTGTACATTGTACACAAAAGTAATCGGAGATAGTAATTCGACTAGAAACGCAATGATTTCGATACAAAAGCTTTATCGTGCTCAAAATGATAGCGATAAGCACATATATTTACATTCGCTTAAACTAAACTCGTAATATTGTCAAAGTATATCCAGAACAATCTTAATAATTTTTGAGAATTGAATAATAGATTTGCCGCAATTTTAATACGGGACGTCATAAATGTCTTAATGTTCATTAGGGAGAAGTTCTTTAAATTTGAATAATGTTCTAATAATTATTAAATATTAAAATCAAATTTCTTTAATAATTTAGATAAAATAAATGTGTAATATCCTTTCTTTATCATAATATGTATATATTAATATGTAACATATCATTTTCTTTTAATATGTATATATTAATATGTAACATATCATTTAAAATCTTCATATGACATTTTAAATGTACATATTATACATAACACATATATATTAATATGTATATATAATTAATATATAACATTATTAACATATAACATCATTAATATATAATATCGTTTAAAATCCTCATATGATATTTTAAATGTACATGTATAAATAATAAGCAACACGAGTAAATAACTATTATAACTAAAATAACAAAGAGAGCAAACTCTATAAGAAATACATTTTCCCTTCCATTGTTCATCGGGAGTCAACAAATCAAACGTATATTTTTTCGATTAATAATCGCTTTGCGCGTTTAGCATGCTAAATTAAAGAATCTTCGATTTCCGGCGTCTAAATAGCCAAAACCTAAGGACAATCAATGACATTCTATGAAAAATAAACGATGGTACTCGGAAAGGCACGAGCACAATTGGAACGATGAAGCGGACGCTAACGTAGACGATCGCTTCGGAAAAATGAAACAACAACAACGGCACTCTCGTACAAGCGAATATCCTCCACAACAGCGGATTATACCATTTACGTGCCGTCTTTGACTCGTATTTCGCAAAGTTTGTCATTTCCTAAAGCAGACAAAAGAGAATTACTATGGGACGTCTAAGCAAGCGCGGACAACCGGTTGAAAGAAGCGACATGTGATATAGAAGAAGAAGATTCATCATGCGAACACGGATGACGAGAGAGAGAGAGAGAGAGAGAGAGAGAGAGAGAGAGAGAGAGAGAGAGAGAGAGAGAGAGAGAGAGAGAGAGAGAGATTCGCGAGAGTGAATCGAATATGAAAGAAAGGGAGGAGATAGAAAATACCTGGACTGTCTGTTCAGTGTCGCGCTGAGTTTCGCTGATCAACGACTCGGCCACGCTTATGTCATCGTACTCTTCTTGATCCAACATGATAGAGAGTTCGTCATGCGTTCTCGTGTCCATACCGCGCAGACATCGCCCGCATAACTGACCTCGTCTGTAAAAACATGTCGCAGAATCTCACGTCAGTGGATCGGAATGAATCAATTCATTGATTTTGATGGAGATTGAGATTCTTTTTAAGGTGCGTACGATAGATGAACTCTATTTTCTGATTAGATGCGTGGAAAACGAGCAATGTGTAGGAAGAGAAGAGTACCTGACTTCCTCTAAAGTGTTAATTTCGTCCTGCAGGCTCTTCACGTCCTGCGCCTTATTACGCCACTCTGTCAACTGTTCCTCCAACGCGCTATTCTCCTGCAACAAGGTGGTCAACTGCTGACTGAGCTCGGACACCTTCTTCTGCTCTCTGGCCCTTTGGCTGCGCACTTCCTGCAACTGTCTCAGCAACTCGGTCATCTCTTCTTCGTGATCGCTCGCTGTGGTCGCGGCGATAGTCTCTTGGGAGGACTTTGGCGAACTCGGGGCAGCTCTCTGAAGGAGAAAACACATCGCATTGTAAATTCTTTCTTCCGCTAGAAGCTGGAAGACGTTTCAAGTTATATAATTTAAAATATGCTTAAACGCGATTCAAGCTAGTGAAGTAATATTTATACGCTTACCTGTTTCTCGCTGCCACCTTGCGTATCCGAAATTTCCCATTTGGTATTTTGTTGCTGTTGCTGTTGCTGCGCATTATTACTCCTAGACGGGCTCGCAGCCCGTTGACGCAACTGTCCGGTCAAGTCGTCAATCTTCTTTTGAAGTTCCTCGCATCTTATTTCCAGATTCTCAATAGTCACGGATTGGCTAGACGCGCAAATCAATGATTATTGTTATTGTTATTTCGAAACATTATAGTCGCACAATCATCCCGATGGGGACAACATATGTCTGATGAAGTGCCGCCTCGCTTGGCAAGAAATGCGTGGCGAGGCGACATTCCGATTTGCTCGAGAATTCTCGATTCTGCATCTTAAAAAAATGCGTGAACGCATCGTTAATAATAAGGGAAAAAAAAACTTATTCTCGGGAGAAATAGATTGCATCGGAAGATTAGAATAATGTTAAATAGGAAAATAATACTTAATGACTTTACATGAAGTGTAATTGTATCAGATGGTAATGAATTATGCATTTAGAAAGGTGAGCTTAGAACGGTTCACATGGTCGATACAATAAGAAACTGGTAAGATATAATAACAGATATCTCTCGCCGGTGCTTTTCAAACAATATTCTCCGCAGTACTTCCAGCAGAATATTTTATTTAGAATTTCAAACAGTATCTCTTGAATAAGTTTCAAACAGTATCTCGCTTTTTCTAGCTACAAATTCTTTTCGTCATTTTCTTTACCACTTAAAAGTGTTTCGCGTTTATTTATATAAGAGGAGCAACACTGAAAGAGGAAAAGAAAAGGGAAGCGAAGGAAGAGAAATATCCCGTCGAGATACCTACCTTTTGATCAATTTCTTATCGCTCGTGTTCTCGATCACCAGGTGATGATTCGCACGTTCCAGATCCTGCACGCTAACTTCCAACTGCTCGTAGACTTTCAACCGTGTATTGTTCACCTCCCTCAGAGCGGCGGTCTGTTTTTTCATATACTATAAACAGATAAAAGGACGAATACATATTTATCGTGTAACGTAATTTCGAGATTGAACGACACTGTCGATTGTCGTGATTTGAATTCTCTTACCGGTATGTATGATTGTCTTGTAAAAATAACATTTGTAAACATTTGTAAATGACTATTATCGGTTTAAATTATTTAACTATGCGGTTTGTGTGTTTCAGGTGATAATTAGCCTTCGAATTGTATAACAACTACACACAAATTACTGCGAGATGTATAGTCACCTCGATCTCCTGTGTTTGTTCCTCCACGGTAGCTTGATGCAGCTTGATGATGTTCTCCAGCTCCTTGTTCCGTTCCAACAGAGTTTTGCCGAGTTCCGCCGCCAATTGAAGATCTACGCAGAACGTAAGTCGCATTTTTATATACAAACATTTTTTTTATTTCGAATCAAAAAATATTTTCAACTCACACAACGGATATTCGATTTGTCCGAAAAATCTCTATACGCGAAGAAAATTGTAATTCTAAACAAATTGATGATAAAATATGTGTACCGAAAAATTTCACGGTACACCTTTGCACGATTCGGTTTATCGTATCGCTTCATGTCCATGAACTTGTTGAGAATACGAAAGAAATGTCTAATGTCAACGGAATTAAAATTGCCTTGGCTTGGCTCCGAATGACAATGAAGCGCGATAGTTGCAGGTTGTTGCTTCCCGAGCGAACGCTCCGGTTCGCGCTCCCTCATTCTGACACCGACCCAAGGGCCAAGGACCTTCGTAGCGAGCAAGCAACCGCGGTTACCGTTTACTCGTTTTCGCTGCGAAACGACCCGAGGAGTTCGCAGATGCGTCAAGTTGGGATAGAATCGCGATGGGACGCACAATCGCAAAATCGTCGGAGGTATTTACAGATTCGATTGATTTATACAAGAAAATAGATTCGTAGATGTAGCTGTTTCTATCGAGTTTGCGGTGTAAAGTAGAAATATTTTTTATCCTTCAGTCACACTAATCAAAATTTTTTACACAATGTCTCCTAATATTATCACTTGTTCTCTCCAGTGAACGTGTCTTTTTGGAATCACCCCCGATACGTGGACAACACCGTCAATTTTCTGCGCACTTGTTTTCCTTCTCGCGTTTACTTACTACTTTCGGAAGAGGAGACCTTAAGACTCTTGAGATACGCGAGCTCGATAGAATAATCCCAGCCCTCTAACGAGTTGGTTTGGGTCTGCGGGTCCCAGACCACGTCCACGCTCTGGCCGCTCATGGCTCGCTCGTGATGGGCCTGCCAGCTCCCGGACTCGTTGCCCCTTTCGCGACACACGCGCAACCGGTTCCTTCGAAGGCGGCCGGTCTTCTGCGGTTCCGCGGTAGCCAGCCCGATCCGAACGTCGTACGCGTTAATCCAACTCCCTCTCCTGTCTCGCTCTTGTCTCCCTTTCCCTCCCACCCTCGCGCTTCTGGGCCCGACTTGTGCCCCGTCTCTCTTCGTCCCGAAAGGGATCTCACTTTGTTGCCGGATAACCACTTTCCAGAAGTGGTTTTAAATTTTGGACAACGCGTCCGCGGTATGCGCGGTGATGTAAATTAGATCTACGGCCATTGACCTCCCTTGTGTACTTGTGTATGGAAAGTGGCGCTAACCGTAAACAAAAATGTTCATTCTGAACACACTCTGACAGAAAAATCAGTTCCTTCGTCCCCCCCTTTTTTTGGAAGCACTCGGTTCCCTGAACGCTCTCCAGGTATACTCTCACTTCGCGTGCGGGATCCTCTTCCTTTCCCTTATATCGCCTTTCTACGTGGCTCGTTTCCGTCGTTTGTGTGATAAGAGAAGGTGTCCCACTTGTATGGCTCACGCGCACGCTGGAGAAAATGGGGGCTGTAGGTTGACGATGAAGGGTGATTTGACGGGGAAGAGTCTTTCGCGGTCGCTTAAAGATTAAGAAAGATCAAGTTTTGTTCTATATTCGCGTTTTTCCGCCGACATCGAAACAACGCTACAAGATTTGCTCGGCTAAAAATAGCTCGAAGGATCAAAGGGTGACACGGAAATCTGGTCAAGACCAGCCATCCTCTTCCATTGTTCCATTGTTTTCGTGGGTGTAATATGAATTAATTGGAGTACGCGCGGCTACCGATGAAATAACAGTGATTAAGCCTCGCGGGTTGCTGTAAACGTTTAGTTACGTTGCGTTAATAGTTGACGGAACCTTGATCCACTTGAATATAATAGCAAACGCGACGGTTGGATATAATACTGGTAACAGAGAAGAGAACATGGGATGGAACATGAGAGTTTCATCCGATGTCACTTAACGCGTTTTCCTCGATGAACATTGAACATTAAACATAAGCTTTCATACACGTGTTTATTATGCACGTGCATATGCGATTCGAAGCTTTCACTTTGAATGTCACGCAGACTTGTTCGAGGGGATGAAGATGTTGCGGAAATGCGAGATAAATTTGAAAAAGCGACATTGATTTGACACTCGATCGTATGATTCGCGAATGTTTTTTATAAAAATTAAAAAATAACTAGAGCAAATTTTTTATATTTTATTACATTGCAAGAAATCGATTTTTTAAGAAGGAATTTGAATTTATAAAAATATTGCAATTTGTGAATAATTATTTTTATAATTTTGTAGTATTCTATTCGGTTGGATCTCTGCAAATTATCGTTTTTAATCTATAAAGTCTATAAAGTCTCGCGCTGTAACGATTTCCGAAAATATCGGCCCAGTAGCCTCGTTATTCAATCATGAAAAACGCACGTTATTATAAGACAATATAACGATCGACAAGCCAACAATCATCAAATTCTATTCTTTTCGCATTTGATGATTTGCCGTTACATCGACGTCTCGACTTAATGACATGGTCAGCGGTAAACCAACCGTTGCAATGGGAAATCGCACGAGCGATACACAAGGTTCATTTCACGTAAGCGACGACAGATTCATGACAGGTTCTGTTAAAATTTAAGTTAAATTAACGATTCGTAAAACGAGGTAATTCTCGAACGTTTAGCGAAGGAGATAAAACGCAAAATAAGGAAATTATGATATGAATCAGGTACTAGTTTTAGATCATTTATTTATTAAACATAATTTATGTGTATTTTTTTCCGTTAAATATTTTACATAATTTCCGTTGAATCTTTAGCAATTGCCACTTTTTCTTTCTTCACAATAACATATACTATAAGTAATCTACAAACAATGAAGTAATATATTATATAAATTAAAATATAAACTCTCTTGTTTAAAAGTTCATTAAAATATAATATTAAGATTGCAGTCTCAAGGCTTTTAGAATAGGAAGTGTATTAAATCTAACGGAAAAAAAATAATCTTTGCGGTTGTTTATTCTCTACCAATATTGTAGACATTGTTTTAACTGCGAAATGAACGCGTGTTGTGGCACACATTATTTAAAATGTATAGAAAATTAGAAAACAATTTTACTTTTATTAACATAAATAATTTATTAACATAAATATATTTATTATTTATTAACATAAATAATATTATTAATTTATTTCGATAAAAATAATAAGTATTAAACGATAATTAAATCGAACAAAATTATAAAGTATTCCTTACGATTAATTATACTCTCATAATTATTATTTTCATATTATTTGACACATTCTTCTGAGCAAAAATAATAATTTTTATTCCATTAATGATCCAAAATTAGTACTCTTATCCTCATACAGATATATACATTTAAGAGAAATAGACGTATACAGGAAATAATACTCTGCCTTTCATCACATTAATCACGAAATAAGCACCTCGCTTGAATCGGGTTCGCGAGGTCAGCGGCGGACGCGAGTAACAAGGCCCATCTTTTTCTCGTCATTACGTTCGCGGGACTTCATTATCCGGCGTGACTCGGGGGGACTTGATTCGCGGCGTAAATATCAGTCGTCAGCTGTCGGCGAATATCAGATGCGATTAACCCCCGCGGTTTCTCGAGCCGAAACGCGAGACGCCAGGAACTAACGATTCTCGATCTGTTACGTTCGTCGCCCATCGACGGTGAAAGTCACTTTTACGCCGATCCTTGTAAAATATGAAGGATATTGCGTAATGGCATTTAGTTTTTGAACGCCGCCGAGGCGTGGATAAATCACGCGTTCGAAACGGAAAGCACGATGAGAAAAAAAAAAGACCGATAAAAGAATCCCCTACGCGGGACAGAGTCCAAATGGAAGGATAAGCGCGAAACTCGTTTCGCGGGCGAGACCGACGTCTCGAATACACAAAACGGATAACAAAACGTGGCCAGGCAACGTCTCGCACTTTTCCTATGCGCCCGAAAGGTCAAGCCGGTGCACCTGCGCTCAAATCTCAATAACAATAGGCGGTTTTGTTCTCCTCCCCCGCTTCCCCTCCTCGTCCCTCTTCCCCGCTCCCTGTCGGTGGTCGATGAAGAGATTAATAACGTTTCGCCGGAACATTCTCAGGAGAAAGTACGACGGCGAGAGGGGTTTATAGATTCCATTCCGACTGACGTCGGGGTCGTCGGGTCGTAATATCCAGTCGAAATATCACGCCGATCGTTTTCCGTCTTTCGCGCGAAACCTGGAGCTCGAGTCCAACGGAGAGTGTTGCATTCTCGCAACTTTTGGTCCCGCCAAATGTCTGCGGATCGCGGATTGTTAGACGCCTCCGCCTACGCGTCTCGATTCCGATTCAAGCGGAACGAAGATTAGCTCCGGTCCCACCGCGCGATCCGACAGCAGTGTCGGTATTGCATTCGTGAGACGAAACGAGACGAACGAGGGACCAAAGGGGCACCAAAGAGAACTTCGTCGTTCTCTCGAGAAGCGATAATCGCCAGAAACGATTCAATCATCTCGTTGCCGGAGGTAGAGACTCGGAGGATTCGAGATGTACGGTCACTCCAGAGGCTTTCCTCGCCGACTTTCGCATTTCTCAGGTGATCGCTAATGCGATGATTAATTCGCGTGGGCGGAGGGAAGGCGAGCGTGACACGCGAGATGCTTGTCGAATGCCTGTCATCGCACAATATGCCATTCATGTGCGTATATCGCTCCCTCTCTTTCCCTCGCTTCTTTCGATATTCTGGTAACCAGCACTTTGTGGCTCCGGTCGAAACATTCCGCGAACGTGCTTTCCCATCATTGTTTCGCGCCGAACGTGAAATATTCGCGTCGTGCCCTGGATGAAAGTACGCGCCGGAAGAAAGTACGCGCGAAGCTGGTAGGCTTTTAATAAATTGAGACACGCTGGAGGAGGTGGGGACCCCGAGCCCACCGGTTCTGACGCTTCCGCTCTCGACCGTGTTACATGTGCGACCGTTTCAGGGAACGAGAAATCTTAAGGGATCGAATAAAGTGATGTAA